GCATTGTGTGCGTAGTAACTCTCCATTCAAGCGTGGAATACTTGGAAGGCATTGGTTCCCAGCTCATCACTGTCCTCGCTCCTCAGCCCGGAACGGGGCAGCACGGGGTGCAGGGAAGAAGCCACAGGAAGCCGAGCGGCCAGGGAGGGAGAGTGCGGGCTGACGGAACCAAAGGGCACCTAACTCTTGTTCTCAGGAGGCCTCCTGACGCCCAGCCCAGCCCTCAGGGCCTTAGCACGCCTGACTCTGTTCCTGCAGGTCCCTCTCATTCCCTCTCCACGGAGGACACCCCCAGCAGAAGGCTCTGCCCCGCCTCCCTCAGTGTGGGCATCCCCAGGCCTCCTTCCACAGGACAGTCTGTCCCTCCTGCAGGCTTCCCTGCGTGATGGCGAGGAAAGGCTCCCTTCCTTACAGGCAGTCCTGACTGGATGCAGTATTGGGCCCCTGTCATTGTTATTTTTTTTTATACTTTTATTAATTTCAGAGAGGAAGGGAGAGGGGGAGAGAGATAGAAACATCAGTGATGAGAATCATTGATCGACTGCCTCCTGCCCTCCCCTCCTCACTGGGGATCGAGCCTGCAACCCGGGCATGTGCCCACAACCGGAATCAAACCTGGGACCCTTCAGTCTGCAGGCCGATGCTCTATCCACTGAGCAACTGGCTAGTGCTGTCATTGTTCTTATGCCTTCTCTGTGGCACCGACCTCAGGATTGTGGTCAAAGGACAGTGTTTTCAGCCATGAGAATGTACCAGACCCGCCCTAGAGGAGGAGCTGACCCCGAGTGATGGTCAGAGACAGACCACAGAGATCGCCAGCGAGGGCAGGCATGGGGCTGGCTGAGCCACCAGTGCGGGCAGGACCGCGGGCATCTCCCCGGGCCGCAGCGGCGGTGGCTGCCCTGGTCATGGGCTCTGTCCGTCTGTCTTGCTCTCTCCAGTGCGGGGCCGCCTTCCAGGAGGAAGACGTCATCGTGCTCAATGGCAGCAAGGCGGACGTGGACACTCTCAGGAGCAGGATGCAGGAGAAGAGGATGAGAGCGAGGGTGGGGAAGGTAAGCCTGTGTGTCCCTCCCCTGCTCCTCTGCCTCGCAGTGGCTGCGGGGGTTGGCAGGACCTGAGACCTTTTTACAACCTGGCAGGGCCTGGGCGCTGGACAGTCCAGCCTGCTCTGCCAACCCTATCACTGTGGGTGGGCACAGCACTTTTCTATTCCTCGCTCAGTGTCTTCAGTGAGTGCACAGGCCCGGAGCAGGGCCTGCCTGTCTGGGGTGGGGTGGGGTGGGAGCAGGACCTGTCTGGGGCAGGGTGGGAGAGGGCCTGTCTGGGGCGGGGTGGGACGGGTGGGAGCAGGTCCTGACTGGGGTGGGGCAGAGTGGGAGCAGGGCCTGCCTGTCTAGGGCGGGGTGGGGTGGGAGAGGGCCTGTCTGGGGCAGGGTGGGGTGGGAGAGGTCTGTCTGGGGCAGGGCGGGGTGGGGTGGGAGCAGGGCCTGTGTGGGGTGGGATGGCAACGGGGCTTGTCAGGGGCGGGTTGGGGTGGGGTGGGGTGGAGTGAGAGCAGGGCCTGTCTTGGGCGGGATGGGTTGGGGGAGTTGGGGGAGAAGGTGGGGCCTGTCAGGGGTGAGCGTTCGGGAGGGTGGCAGTGAGCCATCAGGATTGCTGCTCTCACTGATTTTTAGAAGAGAGTGGTCAGCCCTCCGAATTGGTGGGTTTTCATTACAGGATTCAACCAACCAGAAATCAGAAATATTCTGGGAGGGGGATGCAGAGATGATCCCAGAAAGTGCCAAAAAGCAAAGCTTTAATTGGCTGCACACGGAGCACTGTGCTGGATCCACAGGAGTGAAGTGATGTGTAGGCACCCCTGCCGTAGCCTCTGCTCATGTAGGTCACACGTAAATGCTCTTTCTATAAATGAATTTGTGTAAAGGACTTGAGTGTCCTTGGATTTTCGGCCCCGTGGGGTCCGGGAACCAGCGCTCATAACTAGTGAAATCAAGGACAGTCGCCGCCACCCAGCACATCCGAAGAGCCCACTGCTCAGATCTGAGTGTCCAGGAGCCAGCTGGGCCCTCGGGAGCCTGTGCCCACCCCGGCCCCATGGCCAGCCCCTCCACCAGCGCCTGGAGCACCGGGAGCTGCCCTCGCCTTCCTCGCCCCGGTGCTCCAGAGGGCGCCCGAGCCCCGAGATGCCAGAGTGGTGGCGGACACTTCAGTGAGTTGTCACCGTCTGTCCCAGGCCTCCCGGGGACACAGGTGCCCTCTCCGAAAGGTGCCCATGGCACTCTGGGAACGCCTCTCGGTTACTGCTGCTGGGCACTCGCAGCAGGAGACACCTAGCAACTGCTCCCATTACCTAAGTCTGCTGTGAGCCAGCTCAGAGCTCAGCAGCTGCCTCTCTCTGGAAGGCCTCGCTGTTATCCTCTGGTTAATGCTGCCTTGAAGTGAGCCAAGGTGTTCACGTCTTATACAGTGTTACAGATCACATGCCACATGTGTATTATAAGTTCAGGCTCCTGCCCAAGAGAGTTGCCTAATGAGGAGAACCTTCTGTGATGCTTAGTCTGCGTGTCTGTAGCACCATCTTTTGGCTACTTAGGGAAATGGCATTTTTAAAGGAAATTGTCTGAACAAGGTCCTGTTTCTCCTTCTATGATTGGATCGGTTCTATCACAGCCATGTGGCTTTAGAATGGTTCATTTCATTTTAAAAATTAGGAGCAACAGAATCTTAGTGCCTGAAAATCTTAATGGCAGTAATCCCGGGGCGAGGAGGACCGGCCCGGTGTCCTTCAGCACAGCCTCAGCCCTCATGGGCTGAGAGCAAACAGGAAGGCGGTGTGAGCGCCTGAGACACCCTGTGGGTGCTTGTCCAGCTGGGTCCTGTTCGGTTAGCTGCTCTTTGTGGACAGCAGTCACCACTCACTCTGACTTACCCTGAAAGCCGGCATCTGCCTTAGAAGTGTTGCGAATGTGATTTCTGGAACGTAAACGTAGGCAGATCTCTGCGGTGTGTTCTTGAGTGAGGCAAAGTGCATGACTGGAGACATGCGCAGGGGTCTGGGTCTGGAAAAATGGGCGCCTGGGGTGTCTTCAAATGAGCCCCGCCGTGAGGGCACCACGGCCTGGCGTGAGGCTGGGGGGAAGGGAGGACGGCCTGCGGAGGCCGCTATGGAGGGAACGTGGTGCATCTCCCCTTCCTCTCCCTCCAGAAAACAAAGAAGCCCAAGGCGGCAGAGGCTGTCTCGCACCCGGCTGCCGGTGAAGGTAGGTGCTCACCACAGCGGGCTGAGGGCGGCCTTCGTGCCCTGGTGGCACGCTTCTCTTACTTTGCTTCTCTTACAGCGTCCGAGGGGCCGTCGGGAATGAACATGGGAAAGCCGGAGGCCTCCAGCCTTGACCCCCGGGAGAAGAAAGTGGGCCCGGCTCCCAGAAGCGCAGGTGGGTCCCACGGAGCCCGCAGCGGCTGCTCTGAAGACTGGGCCCTGGGTCACGTCACAGCATTCTTGGCCAGAACTGAGAAACTGAGGCTCATCCTAAGGCCTGTCTGGGTCGTGCACTGAGCTCTCTTGGGGACTAGAAACACTTACCAGACCCTAGAGCGGGAGGCTGTCGGGATGGACGGGCCTGGCCACAAGCGCAGGCGCTCACTTGGCCTGCGGAGTGTGCGCTCGGTCCAGGCTCACAGGGCTGCCAGACCTGGGCCTGCACATCCCAGAGTCAGGGTAGAGGGCTGGGCTCGGCGTGGGGTGGGGGCTGGGTTTGTGTGCACTAAGGTGCTCAGAGCCACCCTCCCCACCTGCCTCTCAGCCAAGTCCTGAAAGTCATTCAACATACAGTGCAGAATTCAGTGCATTCCTCCTGAAACCTGCTACCTGTAACTAAAAAACAAAACCGTATTTATTTCACAAAAAGGAAAACACAGATTGGTTAGGTGCAAGAATGTATGGCCTCATGTTGTAAGAAGCAGCCGCAGTGGTTATGGGTTTCGATCCCTGCTCCCCATGTAGCAGCCCCCGGCAGGGGAGCTCACTCAGCCCCCTATTGCCTCTGATTCAACTGTAAGACAGGCCATCCCACCCCTCGTGAGGAGAGCCTGACATGTCAGCCATGGAGCTGGGTCCGTGTGGGCACGTGGCAAGTAGTTAATCGTGGCTTTGTCTCTAGGAGGTGGTGGCAGATGGTAAAGGGAGGAGGAGGAGGAAGGTTCCCGGGAGGAACAGGCTTACTATTCTCCCTTTGAGAATGTGGTGTTTGGAATGATCTTTAGTTCCAGCCGTAAAGCGTCTGGCTTTTCCTTCTCCCAGCAGCTAGCGGGAGCTCCTCTGGGAAAGCCGGGAAGCCTCCCTGTGGCGCCACGAAGAGGTCCATCGCCCAGAGCGAGGAGTCCGAGGCTTACAAGTCCCTCTTCACGACCCACAGCTCCGCCAAGCGCTCCAAGGAGGAGTCGGCCCACTGGGTCACCCACACGTCCTACTGCTTCTGAGCCCAGGCTGCGCCCGCGCCCGTGCAGGCTCCGTCCAGCTCCTGGAGGCAGGCGTGAGGGTGCTGCCTGGGCAGTGGGCCTGCACCGTGTCATTAAAGTGTCCCCAACCTCGGTGCCGGTGGCCACTCCTGCCTCTGAGGCACGTAGGTGACTCGCACACAGTGGCCGCTCTACCCTCTCCCGGCTTAGTGCTCCGTCCTGGCCCCCATGCTGTGCCTGCTGCGCTTCGTAGGCTGGAAACCATTAAAGATTCCAGATGCCTTGTGGGTGTGTGCGTGGCTCATTTTTACTAAAATCCCACGGTTTTGCTGCCAGCAGTGAATTACATAGAAGGGAGGAGCTTTGGCCACACTCTGCCTGCAGGTGTTTGCAGGAGCACTGAGAGGCCAGGACTCTGGCCGAATATTGGGGGAGGGGCATCCCTAGTTTATTATGCTGGGCCAGAATGGCCAAGGCTGAACCTGAGGGGGGGCAGTGAAGGATTGAAGAAAAGACGGGCGAGAATACAGCTGGGGCTCGGTGGATCTCCTGTACCTGGGTGAGGACACAGAAGACCCAGCCCGCAAGCCCATGCTTTGTTTTATAGTCTTTTAAAACAAGGGTGGATTAACGGGTACATAGATGTTCTTATTTTGGCAACACTTGCTGTACCTCCCACAGCCCATTAGTGCTTAGGAAGGAATCAGGGAGGCTGCAGGGTCAGGCTTAATGATGCAGGAGAGCTCTGCCCTCCAGGCTGGGACCTCTTTGTGGCCCTGCCACAGGTCAGCCCCAGGCTTGACCCTAGAGCTGCTCCCCACAGTTTATCACTTCTTGGAAGATAGAAGAGATCAAGTTGGGCACCTGGCATTTGATACAAAAGTAGACAAAGTCTGCCTTTCCTCTTGTTGGCCTGTATTTCTGTTCTGCCTCCCACTACGTTTTATAAGAAAGGTAAGCATCAGGACTAACTCCACGGTGTTGCGTCAATTCCTGTCTCTAAATGCTCTACATAAACATTTCCAAGTAATAAAACTCGCGTGGGACAAAACTTCCTGAGCATTTCTGTGGTTTGGGTCATCTCTAAATCAAGGCTTAGTGCGGTCCCCCCAACCACCAAATGTGAGAGCTCCATCAGGGGTGGATAACGTGGGGTACACACACCTGGGGGCACCTCAGAATACTCCCCAGGTGTGTCCCAGAGCACGGAAACACCCTCCCACTGGAGCCGTGTGAGGAGGGACTAGGGACAGACAAGCTGGCAAGGGTGAGCCCCTGAAGATCACGGGCACCCTCCAGCCGCAGCCAGAGACCAGGCCAGCGGCCTCCCAGCTGCCAGGTGTCTCCTGCGGGAGAGCCCCCTCTGTGGGCAGCACGCTGCCCTGGGGAGCATCTGTGCGGCACAGCCCGGCTCCCCGGCCCCTTTGGTTCCAGGCGGTCTTACAGAACCTTGGTCGCTGCCCAGAGCTCAGCACAGCTTGAAGCTCCCGGTGGACCCTTGATCACCTTCAGCAGAACGTTGGTTCCTGGGGAATAAGTGAGTCAGATGATCCAGGGGACTGGGACAAGCCTTGTGATCCATTCACGGCTCTTCCATTGTGTGTCATTCACTGGCCAGTGAGACTTCGCTATACTCCTGGCCTCCGCCTGCTGCCTTCAGACTGCGCTCACCTCCTGTCTAGGTGCCAGTTCCCTCCTGATGATCCTTCAGACTCCACCCAAATGCCCTTTTCAGGAAAGCCTTCCTGTGTCACCTGACACCTGCTGAACACTCCCTGCTCTAATCACCATTTAATAAGTTACCGTACATCCTTAGCTACCCCCGGGCCTGCACCTGGTGAAAGCAGTGAGTGAGGTGTGGGGATGGCAGGGCTGGAGAGGGCATTCCTCCTGGGACCAGTGTTTCCAGATCTCACACGTTTTCAAACGGAGCCAGAAATCTAGGTTCTAAAAAGAACCCCCAACCCCCCAACATTAAATCCTGCAAATATTATCTTTAGAAACAATGTAAGCCAATGGCTCCTAATGTACAGCCTTTGGTTTAATTTTTGTTTTTAGTCCTCACCTAAGGATATGTTTTTATTGATTGGAAAAGGAAAGAAACATCAATGTGTGACAGAAACATCCATCCGTTGCCTCCCGTACGCACCCTGACCAGGCATCGAACCCACAACCTAAGCATGTGCCCTGACCCTCAACCTTTGGTGTGTAGGACGACACTCCAACCACTGAGCCCCTGGCCAGGGCGCCTCTGGTTTAATGTCTTTCTCACTGGGCTCAGCTCCACAGGGTCACATGCCACGCATTTGACACAGCATCTGGACTTAAATGAATCACAAACAAAAGCTGGCCTCAGCCAGCTCAGCACCAGGGCGTCAGAAAGGCTGGCAAGGGCATGGCAACCACCATCCACCCTCTCTTGTTGATTGCCTGCTGGGAATGCCACCCGCTCCCTACGTCCTCCGACGGACCCTGGCCTCACTGGCCTCCCTGCCGCCATCACAATGGCCCGAGCCGCTCCTGGCTGGGGCCTCTGTGACATCAACCATCTCAGCCCAGCACTCAGAGTCCGGGTGCGAGGGCACCATGAGCAGCCTCCTCCCCCCCTCTGCTCACCATGCGGACCCTGAGATGGACCTTGTTCCTGCCCATGTGCCTGTCTTGCGGCTACGCCTTTATGTTTTCTTCTCTGAGGGAGAATGTCAAAGAGCCCCCCGGGAAGGTGCCTTGCGGAGGGCACTTCCGGATTAGGCAGAACCTACCAGTCCACGCCCCAAGCTGGCTCGTCAGCAAGTGGCTCTGGTTCTTTTTTATTATTCTGCTGTATGTAATTCTCAAGTATCGAAGAGAGATTGAGAAGAGTAAGGTAAGGACGGCTCCATTCTTTATCCCATGTTGCTGCCACCTCAGAAATCTCAGACTCCAAGACATGGAGGTGGTACAGGCAGGACGGTTGAGTAGAAGGGATTTTAATGCAAAGTAGCCACCTCGGTCCCGGGAGACCCTGGCCAGTCCTTTCCTGATGGAGCCCCAGACCCACCGAGGCTGGGGCCACACTGGAGACCACCTTCTGTTTACTGGGTGAAGGAAACCTTTGCTTGATATTCAGCCTGTTCAATGAGTTTGTTCCATGAGGATAGATTCAAGAACCTGGCATGTTTGAGTGGAAATTATTCACAGAGCCAGATTTGCTACCCGAGATTTAATTTCCCTAGCGTTTGATTTATTACAAGTTGCTGTGTCAAATGCAATTGATAGCATTGTCGCCAGTAAAGGTAGAGACCTTCCTAAAGGGATAGAGGTGTGAAAAGGTGGCAGCCCCTGCCTACAGCTGCAGTTGTCTCCACGGTGGGGAAAGAGATGGAAAATGGCAGCTTATTCTCTACCAGACGAACCCCATGCCTCCCCGGGCTGTGTCCAAACCAACCAGCGGGGGCTGGCCAGCCTCTCTGTGGAGGCCCAGACACTAGGTGTTTTCAGTTGCACTGAGTGACTCCACTCGGCCGCTTTAGTCTGAAAGCAGCCCTAGACAGTATGTGTGTGACCAAGCAGGGCTGTGTTCCAGTACAACTTCGTTTACAATAACAGGTTGGCCCTTGGGCAATACTGTTTGCCAGCCCCTGGACTCGAGCAACGCTAGAACCGTCTCCTCTTAGGTGAGCCCACCTCCCCTGGACCTGTGTCCAAGTGCCCAAAGCCCAGGGTGTTATTCACCCGCACCTCTTCGTTGGCAGGAAAGGATCCTTCCCAGCCCTCGGGGCTCTCCGGTTCGTGCTGCACCGAAGAAGAACCAGGGTGCGTGCCCCAGCAAAAACTACGCTCTCCACACCTTAAACCAACTCGAGATGGACCTCGTGCAGCTCATGTCCAAGGTGCGGAATCTGAAAGTCGCCATGGTAACTGCCAGTGAACACAAGGCGCAGAACTTTGAGAGGCCCATAGGCCCACATAGCAATGTGACCATCTATGAGATATGGGGCGAAGAAGAGTGGGAGTGAATGGATGTGTGTGTCAGAGAAGGACAGCAAAGTCGAGGGTAGGCACGCCATATGCAAACCAATAAAACTGTTCTGAAGAAAAATCTCAAATCTGAGATATTTCCCCCCTCTTTGGTTAAACCTGAAAAAAATAAATGTGAGACCAGTAGCCCTGGCCGTCGCCATTAAGGTTTTGGTTTTTGTGCCTTTCTCGCTTCCCCTAGGGTTGAGGTGGTGAGACTCCTGGCCATGGGGCCAGGGCCTGTAGGACAAGGTTTGGGAAATTTGGGATGTTAATCTCATTTCCATTGTTACTGTCTTTATATTAGCTATTATTTGTGCAAATGATGGAACTGATTACCTTTGTAATTGATTACATTATAAAGGACAACTTTAATTATGGGTTTAAAAAATGATTGAATTAAGGGTGTGTGTGTGAGAGAGAGAAGAGAAAGAGAGAGAGAGAGAGAGAGAGAGAGAGAGAGAGAGAGAGAGAGGGGCAGATGATGGTTTCCAGAACCACTTACTTGATTTTCTTACCCCAAAAGTCTTATTCATTTCAGCTCATGATGCATTGATTGCCTTCTACCAATTAGCAGTTACATATGTCTAACTGGATTAAGAAAATGGAGAGTTGATTCATACTAACTAGGGCTTTGTCAGTTACTTGCTATGAATGTTCTTTATTATACCTATTAAAATATGGATGTTTTGGCATGCTAATATGGCCAATGGGAAGTACACTTGCTTAATGCGGCTGTTAAATTAGCTTATGGCCCCTTCTGTAGGCCGCCCTGACGGTTCACAGATGCGCCGTGTGGGGCTAGAGGAGCAGCTGAGGACCAGGGCCATTCCCTTCCTTCCACCTTCCTTCCCAGCTACAGAAGGTGAAGTCCGCCCTGGCTGGTGTGGCTCAGCTGGACGTCCTCCCGTGCACCCAAAGGTCACCAGGTCCATTCCTGGTTAGGGCATGTATCCAGGTTGTGGGTTCGGTCCCTGGTTGGCAGCCATTTGAAGGTGTTTTTCACTCTCCCCATCCCCCGTCCTCTCTCTCTAATAATTAATAAAAATATGTTTACCCAAAAAAAAGTTCATTCCCACTGCTTGAGCAACATCTTCGGCATCTGTCCCACGTGAGCGTAGGAGTTAGGGCTCTAATGAAAGCTGCCTGTCTGCTCCCTCTTGTCAATGTTACTCATCTTTGAAAAGTGGTCCCTGAACACTTGACTGCAACTTACAGGATAGGGGAGAACAGAAGGAGCTGAGATTAATTCTGGGTTCTTACTGTTTTCAATCAAATGAGACTGAGTTATTTTCACTGGACACTGAAGAAACTCAGATAAGCTAAAAATGCTTTGGCTTTAGCCTGTGAATTCAATATGGGGCAGATTTTATTTTTTTTAAAATATATTTTATTGATATTTCACAGAGAGGAAGGGAGAGGGATAGAGAGCTAGAAACATCGATAAGAGAGAAACATGGACCAGCTGCCTCCTTCATACCCCCCACTGGGGATGTGCCTGCAACCAAGGCACATGCCCCTGACAGGAATCGAACCTGGGACCTTTCAGTCCGCAGGCCGACGCTCCATCCACTGAGCCAAACCAGCTTCTGCTCAACATGGGGCAGATGTTAGATTAAAATAGAGACCATTTAAAAAGCCAGTGATGCCCACCTGGAGTGGTTTGTGTGGGGTGTTTCTCTCTTTTCCGCATCTATCTCCATCATGGAAAAGGAACAGTCCGGTTGCTGAGTGGAGGAGCTGGGGATTAAGAAATTAAAGAGAGAGACAGACCAGAGGCAGAAATAGATTCATAGGGCTGGGAGCTAGGTGGGCGCCATTCTCTCTGATGGAGAGGCAGCAAGCACCCGAGCCACGCAGCAGGTTTATTTTATATCCCAAAAATCCAGGAAATAACACCAAAAACTTAGGATCAAAGGAGCTTATTTGCATTCTTAAGTAGGCTCTAGCATTACTGGATTTACATATCTAGCCCCTCCCCTGCTGACACCTAGACAAAGGTAAGTCAGAAACTGAATAACACCATCACCCTCCCTCTGGCCTTCGGGAGGGGGGAGGGGGTGGACGGGGACCGAGGACACGGACTCTGCCAGTGCCTCGGGCTCAGCTGACAATTTAAAGAATGTCCAGGCCCTCTACAGTGGTTCAGAGGTTAAGCGTGGACCTGTGAACCAGGAGGTTATGGTTCGATTCCCGTCAGGGCACATGCCTGGGTTGTAAGCTCTATCCCTAGTGTGGGGCATGCAAGATCAATGATTCTCTCTCATCATTGATGTTCTATCTCTCCTTTCTCTTCCTCCATGAAAATAAATAAAAATATTTTTAATAAAAATTAAAAGCCGGTGGTCACCAAAAAAGCATGACTCACAGGCCAAAGCCAACCTGCTGGCTGCTTTTGTAGGGCCCTGAAGGTAAATGTAGTTTCTATGTTTTTTTAATGGGGGGGATCAAAGAATGAGTAATATTTCAGGATATGAAATTCAAATTTGAGTGCCCATAACTGCTCATTAGCAGACACCACTCCCACCATTCACATATCGCCTGTGGCTGCTTTCGCACTGATTGATGGACTCAGTTATCGCACAGAAACCGCAATGACCCAGGAGCTGAAAATGTTTACTAACCAGCCCTTTACAGGAGAAGCTTGCCACCCGCTCCCACATGCTAACCTCACATATTATGTTCACAACCAGGAAAAGCACAGGCCTGCGGACTGAAGGGTTCTGGGTTCGATTCCGGACAAGGGCTCGTACCTCAGTTGCCGGCTTGATCTCCTGCCCAGTCAGGGCGCATGAGGGAGTCAACCAATTGATGTGTCTCTCTCAATCCATGTTTCTCTGTCTCTCCCTCTCTCTTCCCCTCTCTCTAAACATCAGTGGGAAATGCCCTGGAGTGAGGATAACACAGAGTGACCCCAAGCCTCTCCAGTTTAACACCCCGCTCTGCAGGACACATTGCGCCTAGGAAATCCTGCCCCTCAGCCCAGCCAGTGTCACGCGATGTTTTCACACAGAAATGCATGAGAGAGAGACGCAGGAGCTAGGGCGCCCCGAGGCTCCCCACTCCTGCAGTTAGAGCACGTGTGTCAAACACAAGGCCCGCGGGCCAAATCCGTCCCGCCAGGCCTTGCAATGTGGCCCGCACCGCGCTGTCATCACTGCACTCCGCTGCGTTTCCATCACAATGACAGTTTATGACTGTTCAGTAAACCATTCGGCCCGCGATTTAGGCTGGATTTTAGATTTTGGCCCCTTCTCTGATGGAGTTCGACACCCCTAAGTTAGAGGGTGAAAGCATCTTCCAATGCCCCAGGCTCCTGGCTCCAGCGGTCACTGCAGTGGCCACGGACGTGTCCGAGGCAGTTGGCAGAAGGGTCACAGGAGTCCTGGCTCTCCATCACCTCCACCGCACTCTGCTGGGGGCGGAGGGGGAGGGAGTGCGGCGACACCAGGGCCTGAGGACGGAAAGCCAAGGCAGACCCGCTGGGAGGACGAAGGGGATGGGGCTTCACGGGGACGGTGAGGGTGGGAGGCAAACTTGTCACATGGTCCAGGGCCACACGCCTTGTCTGTCTCCCTGAGTGCGGGCAGCCGCTGTGCCTGTGATGGGCCGGCCACTCCAGTGATGACATTGCCTTACAAGGCTCCCTCGTGGCCAAGACACCCTCCTGTGGCCAGGAAGAAGCAGATGCCACATTGTAAGGTGAAGGGTCACAGGGCAAGGACGTGAGGGCCACCTCTGGGACCTGAGAGTGGTCCCCAGTCAACATCTAGAAAAAGCAAGCACCCCCCCCAAACCAGTGGCCTGGAGGAAGCCCCTGAAGGTGGGCCCTGGCCCCTGGGTTCACCCCTGACCCGCCTGTGCTCCTGACCCAGGGAACTGAGACTGTAAGTGGGTGTCATGTCCAGCCACTAAGTTTGTGGCATTTATTAGCAGCAATAGAAATCAGTGCAGCAAGCGGACACTCCCCCTCCCCCGCCACACATACACACACGCACACACACACACACACAGCCTGCCTCTGCTGTTCCCAGGCTCGGGCCCACCTTCCCCGCCCTGTCCCGGCCTCAGGACCAGGATGGGGGCCACAGGGCTGGAGGCCCTGACTCAGTGGGAGCGCCGGTCCCTTCAAACCAGAGTCTCCACGCTGTTGGCTCTGCGGCCAAGCCTCCCCTCCATGGTAGTTTGGCCCAGGTCATTCATTTCGCTTGTTATTCAGGAATAATTAAAGTCATGCAAAGTGGCAAACACAGTACAGTTCTGCCTCCCATGGTTTTAGACCATCAGCAGCCATAAAATACCAAATGGAAAATTCCAGAAATAAACAAGTTGCGGCTGCTCCGAGTAGCTGTGATGAAGTCTCGCGATGTCCACGTAACTGGTCCTGTGTCCGTGTCCCCGCTGTAGTCACTCCCTCATCAGCCACCCGGCCGCCCCCTGGGTGACAGGCCCCCGTGGGGCTTGGAGGTGCTCATGCTCGTCACCCCGTTTTACCTGCTGACGGCCCCAAAGACGCACGGAGAGGCTGGGAGAGCTGCTCAGCGAGAAGGTGGGAGTCCCGACGTGATGAGGAGAGGACAGCCAGGCCAGGACGGCCTCCCGGCCCTGAAGTTGCGAAGGACAGAGACATCAGCTCCTGCTTGGCTGTCGCACCTCAAACTGCAAACTCCTCACCACAAGAGAGCGCTCACAGGACGCAACACAGCGCATGTGGTAACTGCTCCATTTTCTTAGTTATTGTCCGTCTCTGAGCCCAGGTCTGCATTAATCTTCACCACAGGCCGGTATGGACAGGAAAAGCACAGCACGCACGGGGTTTGGCATTATCCATGCTCTCAGGCATCCACGGGGTCTCGGGTCACACTGCCCACAGGTGAGGGGGCTGCTACAGAGAGAGCCTTCCCCCAGTTCCCCCCAGGTCCCACAGTTCCTCCTGGTTTCCTCCAGTTCTCCCAGGGCCACATCTTGCATAACTACAGCTCCCAGTAATTTCTTTTACCTTTTGGACTAGTGGCCAACATTTCACAATGAGATTTCACGTAGAGTCCAGTGAGGGGGAGACAGTTAAACCGAGGAGCTTCTGTAACGTGCAGGAAACCACCATGTGGGCGACTGTCCTAGGCTTCAGCCTCTGCCTTCCCGCTGTCCTTGTGAGGCAGCCAGCCCGCCCTGGCCCCCAGGCCCTGCACGCCCCCCAACCCACCCCACCCCAGATCTTTGTCCTGCCTGCTCCCAGCTACAACACAACAAGCCCTTAAGCCCTTTCCTGCCTTGAGGGCTTTGCAAGTGGCCTCTCTCCTTGAGTAGTTTTCCTCCAGTTGTCACACTGCTGGACGCCGTGCTGTCCCTCTGGCCTTCGTTCAGAAGTCCCTCCTCAGAGAAGCCCTCCCTGGCACCCTCGCCACCCTCCCCCATCACCGGGCTTTGTTTTCCTCTCTTGGAAGCCCACCACGGGTGATGGGGTGACGGTAAGCTTTCCATGGACCTGCTTCCCATTGGGAACCCCAACCCACAGGGAGCACATCACTCACAAGGACAGGGCCTTGGAGGTCAGCTTGCAGCATCCCGCGAGAACCGCCTTCCAGCGTGTCTCTCTCGCCCATCCATGCCTTTCAGTGTGGTCAGAAACTCCTCTGTCAAGCGGCAGGCCCGCTTGTTAGTGTTTCTGTTCAGTTTCGCCCCCGCCACGCTCACGTCCTGGTGGGTTTCCACTGTCACTTCGCTTTGTGCGTATGTGAAGGTATGTGCAATAACCACGATGGTTCTGACAGTCAAACCTTTAGAAAAAGACGCCCCAAAGCACTCTTTTTCTCATCCCCTCCTCCGCCCACCTCTGCCCTCCAGCCTTCTGTTTCATCCTCCCTGAATTTCTTTCTTTCTTCTGGCCACAGACTCCACTGGGTGGATGGGCTCTCTTCTGTGCAGACATTCAGGTCGTCTCCAATGGTGTGAAATGGCACATCTATATACATAGAAGCCTAAGCGACCCTTAGGACCAAGCAACTGGAATGACCAGAATGACCTGTCGACCAGGCACTATGATGTGCACTGACCACCATGGGGCAGACGCTCAATACAGAAGCTCCCACAGACAACCTCCTGTGGCCAGCCAACTGCCTATGACCCCTCCCCCTCCTCCACACTCTCCCCCCCCCACACACACACACACACACACATCCCCCCAGCTGGCCAGCCCCCATCGGCCCCTGGTGCTAAACTAATGGTAGATGACCTGCTTCTGGGTTGGGGTTTTCTATGTAGCAGAGCAGCTCCCTCACTGCCATCTATTGACAGTCAGCCCTCAACACAAGGGTTCATCTCCCATCCTCTCCCTTCCCTGGCGACCACGGTGAGGGAAGGAGGAGT